ACAAATGTATTCAGTATACAACAATTACACAGCAAAGCAAAGGAGGCTGCTCTGTCAGGATTAACTTTAGGCTTCGGGTTGTGGTTTTGTATGTGTTACCAAAAGATGCAGATATAAAAATGATGTATAGTTGTTCCTTGCAACCCCATTTGGGATGAGCCAAATGTTCAATGTGACACTAAAATGAAGTAATTTAACATTGAACCAGATAAATGTGACACAGTTCAAACAATACTCTAATTTCACCTGTTGCAGATGCAGAGTTGGAAATCAAAACCAAAAACAGGGCAACTCTAATTTTTTTCAGTATTATGGTAGATATTCAACATTCAGGCCTTCATTTATCTGGTAGTGATTTAGATGGCTAGTTCAGTTTATCATTGTTGTTCTCAGTTAATTAAAAAGTAGCTAATAACAATGATAGGGAGATTTTTGTTTGTTTTTTTAACATTTTATTAACAGTGAACATTTGAAGAAAAACAGATCACTCCATCCTCACTAACCTTTAGAAAACCCACCTTTCCATCATCTACCTGAGGCAATATCAATCAAACTTACAGCGCCGTCCATAATTATTAGCACCCCTGGTTAAGATGTGTTCTTTAGCTTCTAGTAAATTCAGTGTTTTTCTAAATAATATAGGACCACAATGAAAAAAAGAGGAAAATTCAACCTTTAATTCAAGTACATTTATTCAGTGTGAAAAAAATAATTCTTTTACATCAAATCATGTATCCCACAATTATTAGCACCCTTGATGTTAATTACTTTGTACAACCCCCCTTTTGCCAACAATTCATCTGAGTCGAGTTGAAGGTTAAATTTTTCTACAATTTTCAGTGTGAGAGTTTGCTTCTGCAATAAAAATTGAATTTATGTTAAGGCTTTTAACACATCTTAACCAGGAGTGCCAATAATTGTGGAGGGCGCTGTAAGTTGTCTCTATTTTTGTCATGTCATTTCTACTGAGTCAAATCCACTCAACTTCAGTTTGATTGATATTTTCTCAAGCAAACAACAACAAAAAAACAAATTTTCTGAAAATCTACAAAAACAGAGTTATCTGTTTTTGCAAATAAACTCCTCATTTGTCTTTTACAAAAGAAAGCATATATGTATGTGTGCGATATTTGAAGTACTTAAGTTTAGATTTTCTATCCACCTCAGTAGATATAAAACAAGTGATGGTTCTAGTTCAGTAGGAAGCCTGACCTCTCTTTCCACCCCTGATTGTAACACCAGTGTTTGAATTTCCAGAAATTCAAGGTCTTCTAATAGCACTTCATCAATAGAATTCCAGTCTTCCCCCTGATCCCGGGCCTTGTTTGAACAACTAACTAATCAGAACAGTGAATGGTCTGCTTACGTACACTTCCTGTGGCAGGACTACGTCTCTTTAATTAGCTCCGATTCTTTCATTGCAGAACAAACAGCAGCATATGCCACTTGGTGACAGGCGTCAGTGTACACAAGAGCAGGACCGAGCTGCACCCATAAACACCTGCCGCATTCAAAATAGACGTGTTATACGTGATGTAGAAAAAGATGGAGATTTAGAAAAGCATCCCTGGAAGCATCGTTTAGATCGTCTGAAAAGCTTAAAGGCAGCTGCTTTGCACAGTAGTTCTTTCTGAAAAACAAATATATTGATTTTGTTTTTATTAATTTATTGCATGAAGGTGTTTGCCTTGCACCACAGGATTGTTTCTTACATATTTAATACCATTATATAAAGGACAATATACATTTTGTAGGTTGATGTTCAGCTAAAATAGATACATGCATAAGACTATACATTAATTCATCGTACTTTAACTTAAAAATGAACAATAGACTAGATTTAGTTCCTCGCACTGTTTAGACAAATGTATATTTGTATTTGTACAGATAAAAATGAGAGTATTTAATTTTTTAATCAAGATTTTATTGGATGTTTATGAACAAGATCCTTGGTGTTTCACAACCGTTTCCTCTGCATAAATGACATTGTGTTGGCAACAGAGTGAGAAAAACACTGCTGCACTGCCATCGACGAAGATCACACACAGCGTACGACCTCCCCGCTGTCTACTTTATCGTTACAATATCCTCACAGATAAGCCAGTTGAAGACGCACAACAGACTGTTGAGGCAAATGCAAATAGCAGCACCACCGCATCACTTTTTTTTTTTTTTTTGCAAGCAGGAAAAAGGTCAGTGTCTTTGATATTCGGGGATCGCGTAAGGGGAACGTTTCATTGTGATTCTGTTGACAGGAGATAGAAAGCCAGGGAACTCAGGAAATGAGCTGAAGGGGGCTTTGATTGCACCCACTAGCATCATGTGTCTTTATTAGCACGCCTTGACCAGGTGGTTGTGAATAGGCCAGGCCTTGGAATCAAAAGGAGAGGGAACGTGACACTGCACACGCATTCTTCATCCCTTCATTATTGCTGCTGCTGCTGCTCACCCAGCAACAACTCCTACAGAGGCGTTGTTTTACATACTCGGGCTTGATAAAACATTTAAAATAGACTTGTTATTTTTGTCTTAATATAAAAGGTCAGTCCACTTCTTGGGGCATGAAGCAAGAAGACATCTGAGCAAAATATGTGATGTCCTCAAGAAAAATTTCTGCTGATGTTTAATGACAGAATCTCAGGAGTTGAGCCTCCTGATCATCCTCTCTGAGGAATCCACTGAAAATGTCACAGTTTAATGCCCATTTCTTGACATAGAAGAAACATTTATTAACTCCAAATCCTCTGATGAATGTCAAAAATGGTTAAAAATACAGATCAAGTGAAATGTAGTTTTATATTCTTCCCAGGTTATATAAGAACAATGAGAGGATTTTCACACAAGACAAAAATAGAACACATTTCACTGTAAGGCAAAATGTCAGGTCATTTAAAAAGAACAGAAAATTGTGTGGGCAGAGTTAAACAGAGAAATAAATGACATTCAGCATCAGCATCAGACGAGACCCGACGTGCCTCGGCGCCAGTGATGTGCATAATGCACCGAGCGCACAGGGAACAGCCTGCCGTGTTGTGTTCACGGAGTCGGATCATATCAAGCTGCCGTGAAGACTGGCAGGCTGACAATGAAGTTTGGCAGGGCAGCAGGAAACATCTGGGCTTCACCGTGATCTCTGTGACGTGACGCGCCTGGGAGCGAGGCCTCGAGACAGAGCAGGCAGCAAAGTGCAAGTCACTGGCCACGAGCAAGCTTGAAAGGCCAAGCATGATTACATTGTAGCCGTTTACAACACAAACAGGACGTGACTCGCAGATCAAGGCGTCGGTCACCTATGTGCATCACGGATCTGGTCACGGTTAAAATCGTGTCTAAAGATGGCACACTTTAAAAGACGTGTTTTTTTTCTTTTTCCCATAGGGTGATCTCCGTGTCACATACACTCTGGACCATCTCGGGATTTCCATTAGAAAGAGTGTTCTACATATCAATCCAAGCTTTAATTAAAAAGCTGTTATATTCACAGAGCCTTCGTAAGCTCGCTGGAAATGCGCAGGTTGTCCAGCTCTTCTCCATGAGTGGGCGAAATGGCACATTTGGAAACCAAATGAGTTCATTGTTGCCAGGCTCAAGCCTTTCATCTAATTTTATTGTCCTTACCGAGTGACTGTCACCCTCTGGTAAACACTTGATGTGGTCATCAGCATTAGCACCATTACTCATATGTTTGAAAAGGTGACTCAATGTAATTTTGTCTTATGTTGAAATTCAGATATTCATTATATTAAAAAATTAGGGGGTTGAAAAAAAATACACTCTGAAGGTACTTGATATTGTAAAAAATAACCATGCAAACAGCTTTGGTCGCTTTTAGTTAGAAATTATTTTTGTTAGATTGCAGGAAAATGTTGTTTCTTTTGTTTTCTGGATGTAATTCTGACCGACATTTGCATACATGTAGAAAAAAAAGATGAAGTACAAACAAATTACAGCCTAAACCAACATTGTTATCAAGGGAAGGTATATTTACAATTACTAAATATACAACTAGACTTTACTTGTATGCTAAGACAAAAAAAATACACGGTTAATGCTTTTGAGGTGCCAGTTGGCCAACTTTATACAGGACTAAATATTTACGGTGAATTTAGTTGTGATAAATGGACAAAATATAGTAACATATTGCTGCCACACCAGAAAATCTTCATCTTCATCAGAAAATATTTTTTGGTCACATTATAACATAAAAAGTTTAATGTTACAAGAGGTTTTTCCTGTTGCTTACTTGTTATTCGTACAAACTTTTCTTGTTCTAACAATTTACTTTTTTGTCTTGTTATAACACAAAACATACTGTTGCAGCTTAAAACTCATGGTTGAATGAGGTGTGCAGAGAATGGATATATTTAGGCATATGGATCATTTACATAATTAAGTTTTACTTCATGCTTGGGTTAAAACATGGTAAGATTCTGCTGTGACGTTTTTGCAGGTATACATAGAAAAAGGATGGGTTGGACTCTCTGGAGGTAGCGTCATTTCCCACTGATCAGCTGGAGGGGCGCAGGAAGCTCCATGGATACGTGACGTATCACAACATCATGCACCACACGCAGGGTCTCGCCATGTCTCAGCCCAAGCATGAAGTAGAATTAAATGGCGTAAATGAGCCAGCTTCCTAAGTTTATCCATTTTCTGCATATCACTTCCTCATTCAAACATGAGAGTTTGATGTTCTGACAATCTAAGTTATCACATTATAACGTTTTGTGCTGTAATAACATAAAAAGTATAGTTATTACACTAAAGGGTCATTGTTATAACATGCTATGTTTGTCATATTAATGTGAAAATATCTTGGTAAAAAAATCTCATTACATTGTGAAAACCACCTTGTTATAACAATAACCTTTTCACATTGTACTACATGTGGCAGCAGTACGTTTCTGTAATAAGGATGATTACTTTTTTGGGTGAATGAGTGAATCCCCTCTCTACAAATTCTGTACATCCAGCCATGATATCAACAGTACAATAAAAGCTTACGAACACAAATAATTTTTAATAAAAGTCTGTCATCACAAAATACAAAAATAGCATTCTGAGAACAATTGAATAGTTGAGAGAGGTTTCCCAATGTGAAAACACGTGCCATTAGTGACGGCGTCTTTTCCAGTGGAAATGCAAATAGCCTGGGTCGAAGCCCGGTCTTTGCAGGGGAAACACCGGCTGCTATAAAAAGCAGTGGTGAGAGTCTGAATGAGTGCTAAACACTGATCTGCAGGGTGTCCTCAGGAAGGAAACTGTGTCCTCACCACATCTGCCAGTTGGGGATCAGCCTCCGACAACACGGCCTGCAGGTGCTCAAACTGCACAAGAGGAAGAAAGGTTGGGTGGAAACATGGTGTTTATTTTCCACAGAGGCTGGCGCTGTCCATCACACATCCTAGTCACACACAAGCTCTAAGAGAAATCTTAAAGCTCTTTGCTGTACCAAGCAGCAGTTTTACAGACAGTACAAAAATGATGCTACACATATGACAAGAGATTTATCTGAAAAAGAAATTGAGACAATTCAAGGTGAACTTGGAGTCAGTCTCATCTTGAAATCTTGAAAAGTTTTTATATTTTAAACATTGTTATTCTGTCTAAAAAACATAAATATATATATATATATATATTTAAAAAGTATTCCATTTTACAAATACTTTAAAACTCAAAATTTTAGAAACTGTTCCCAACCATCTGCTATGTGTACCTAATAAAGAACATAAACTATGTTCATACATTTGCTGTGAATAAACTCTTTTTGTCCAACTTATCATTTAAAATCTAAATGGAAATGTATAGGTTGTTATCAGAGGACATGTTTAAAGTGGTTTGTTCAGATTTTACAATGGACTTTGACTTTACAGGATGATCTTCAAGGACTCCAAATCTTCAAACTAGAAATTAGACTGTGGCCCAAATACAACATGACTCAACATATATTAGACTTTCAGATGAGTCCTGTTTATAATGTTTGATACAAATAGAGTTCTCCTCCTCAAGGCCGTCTCTCTTGTAAAAGCAAGCATGAAATATTTCCATTTTTTGTTTACATGACTTGTCTATCAGTCACACAACACTCTCGGCTCTTGAAATGATCCGAAAAACAAGCCTGTGTATGTCCGAGTGTCTGTTTGATCTCCTTGTGACATTTAGTTACTCTGCAAATTATTAGCGGCTTGATAAATGATTCTGTGTGTGCTCCATCACTGCAGTGGGGAGATGCTTGTAGGTTAGTCACTTTTCAAACTGCCTTACAATTGGGTCAGTATAGTGTTTGTATGTTTTTTGACAACCACTTTGTTTGTGTGGCTTATTAAGTGCAGGTTAGGATTAAAGTCTTGCTCGTCGAACTCCTACAAAGAATAGAATATTTTGTATTTCATTTACTCCATAACTGATGTTTCACTGCTTTGAAGCGAGCACTTACTGAAGTCTTAAACTTGGGAAGTAAACTGGCTGCAGCTGTGAGACAAGTCTTCTCTGTCAGGTAACCTTTCTTTACCAAATCTGCAACCGTGTCCTAAAGTAAACAAGACACATAATTATTATCCTTTAATAGCTGCATTAACAAATCTCTTGAAAGTGTTTGACTGAACAGTGAAAAGTGAGCAAAGCGGTTCTTACAGAATATTACCTTGGGAATGTGAATGCAGAGGTCAGCTAAAAACTCAGCTGTGATCTCTGCAAGAGTCTGGAGCTGTTCATCTTTTGCGTCTTCTTTGTTTGCGCCGTCCTTGCACTCACTGTGGTACTGACACACCCGCAGGATGCTCCCAATAAGGGGTAGACCTACAGACGAGACAAAGGCACGTGGTGTTTGCACAAAATATTTAATGAAAATCAATCACTGTATGGGGAAAGTAGATACTGTCCTGTTTGTTCTCTTTTCATTCTTCATGCATAATGCAACAGCACAGTACACACATGTCCAACGTGATAATGAGTTAAGCAGTTTCCATGTCTGACAAACAGCTCTGCACTAAAAATACCAATATGGACTCAACTAATCTCCATTCTATGTGTTAGTACAGCCTCTCTAACTAGCATTAATAAAACACTGGAGTTTGAGCATTCAATCAACAGCTGCACTTCAAACCTGATGCTGATGACATGACCATGTGACATGCAAGTGATGTAAGCAGACCATTAAACGTAAACATCTCTGCTTGCGTCACTTGTGTATTATGATCAGGGACATGTGGCAGCAGTGGCTCAGTGCTTAAAGCTTTGGGCTACTGAGCAGGAGTTTCCCTTTGGGGGACCAACAGAGTATACTAAATAAAAATAAATCAATGACGACAGCCAATTCTCTGGTTAAACCAGCAAGCGACGAAAACTTACTTGTGTCACTTGTGCTGCTCCACTGATCCTGGCATCTGTAAAGAGCCTGCAGCACTGCAAAGGCCTGAACGAGAATGCTCTTCTGTTCATGCAGGACAACTGGAAGATCATTTGGCTGGCAGAGATCCTCACACACTACGTCACATACAAAGTCCCATACCGATTTGCCAGGTCCATCAGGGGCAGCTAGAAAAAAACAAACAGCATCTGATTTGTAAAGAGCTCACATTTGTCCACAACTGTGGTAAACATCTTTAACTACAGCAATTGTGGGCCAACAACTGAAACTGCAATGACTGGTCTTACCAAAAACCTGAATGCCCTCATCTATAGTGGTGAGAAGTTGGAGGATGTGAAGGTAAACCTCGACGCCATTTGGATTCTCTGGTCTGTGAAAATAATTTTAAACTGTTAATACTGTTCATGAGGATCAGCCTGACAGTAAACACCAGGTCTGCTATTATCGGCCATAATAATCTTGCACCTGCCACAAACTTTATAACATTCTATCTTATTCAGATTCAGATTCCCACCTCAACTGCTTGGCTGCCTCAAGGAGACACGAGGTCACATCCAGACTGCTTTCATCATCATCCCCCTTCTCTTCATTTGGCTGAGCTGTGATCCAGCTCTTCATCAGCTCTTCATCGAGGTCAAACAGTTTGTCCACCAGCTCTCCGACCTTCTCAAGCAGGTCAGCTGTTAAACACATTAAGTATTTACGTACAATAACAATTTTCCATGTTGCAAATAGTTAAGATAAGCAGCATAGGGACTTTGAGTCAATTTAAGCCATCTTGGCATGTCAGTCATTTTTTTTTACACATATAATCAGCTTATTCTCAGCTTGTTGTTGGAAAGAAATGAGTAAAAGCAAAGTACTGTTGGTAGAACTGCACATGATGAAACAAAGGCTGGAGCACACAGACGTCTGCTGTCGTATTCGCTGAAGCCACAAGGAACAGACGTCTTTCTGAGAAATGCAGGTCAGCAGCAATCTGCAGAAATCATTAGAAAAGGTGAATATTTTTCTCGAAGTTTCTCTGTTTCACACATCTGCGGAAAATACAGTATCACCTGCTGGTCTCCAGAAGAGTCGGAGGATCTGTATCTCCAAGAAGAAGCAACAGCACAGCTCTGTGGACACACGGGGAGTTACATTAGTAAGAATGAATCACAATAGAGTAAAACATCTATTAAAGAACAGTTACAGACCGTGACCTTTACTCACCCTAAGTCTTCATTTTGGCTGAGAGTCAAACAAGTTTCAGGAAAACAAGCAATGTTTCCAAGGATTCCTACACTAATTTCCTAGAGAAGAAGAAAAGCTTAGAAATACTGCATTAAAAATGAAATACTGCCTACAGGATAATATTCAGGTGCTGCATCTATGAACTGAAAGATTTCACTCACTGTGAGACGTGGACAACGAGATTTAGCTATTACTCCAAGAAGGATGTCTGTGGCTTTGAATTCCTGCAGAAAACCGGCAACATCCTACACACACAGCAGGTGAATAAATAGTTAGTAAATACATAAAGCTTTATGGATTCACTTTAACTGTAATATGTGGTTTAATTAATTAGAAAACCTACATGAAAGACAGAAAGAATGAGACCGGGGCGATGTTTGCATTTAATAAAAATTCATTCTAAAATAACACATTTTGATAGATTTCTCATGTTTGTTTAGTAGTAGATATCTTTGTGAATGTCAATCAGTCTCCGGAAACCGAACAGGAAAAACACAGTAGAACAGATCCAATCAAAACAATATGGAGCATAGATTAGAAACACTACTTTATCCATTGCCATATCCCAAACTCTGCACAGATCTTCCTCATCATCGTCGGGGAGCTGCATCTGACCCTCAGAGTTCTCCTCCGAATGCTCCGTGACCATCTGCAAGACATGTGGACAATGTGTACTACAGCGAAAAAGCCCACATCAACTGAGCATCAACTGCTTTAGAAATATGATTATTCCAGCTTGCTCAACTTGTGGACTCACTCAGTGAAGACTAGTGTGTTTTTGCTGTCTGATTGATGCTACAGCTGTGTTTGAAGGAGCTTTGGCAAAACAGCTCAAATTATACTTAGCTGCAATTTTCCACAGAGCCCATGACTCAAAGTGCCTTAAACCTTGACATCAACAATAAAAACATACATGGATGAGACGAGTCAGGGTGCTGAAAAGCCAGTGCTTGCTGTAAACCGTGTCTCCGATGGCATCCACGTCCTCATCCTCCGCTCCGTCGGCTGTGTCCGGGGGTGGTGACGGGTTACGGTCCATTACAGGAGAATGTGAGCCAGTTGGAGACGGGGATCTGTCTTGTCCCACTTGCTCAGATCCATCAGTACCACTGTCTGGAGCGACACACAGTGGTATATGTTAGACAACGACTGTTCCATGACATTAAAGAGACTGTCAGCAACAACTGATTTAGCCATGTTGTTATTATTAAGGTTGCCTATGTTCCCAGCAGTATGAGACCACTGATGAGCAGACTGCTTTGTGGAAGTATTTAATGTATAGAATTCATTGTATAATAATCTTCTAATAATTTTGCTGTGAAAGTGGTGCAGTTATAAGGTTGGACTCAATAGATGGGTTAGTCTTTTATCACGAGTGTATCTTTAGATTGTACCCTGATAATGTATATATTTTTATTGTATCTTATATGTATAGACAGGAAAAAAATGGAAATTATCAATCAATAATTTATGGAAAAGGGGTGGGATTAAATAAGTGTTTGTATACTTCTTCTCACTCCTTTTCGAATATGTAGACCTAGTCCAGAATTGTGGAATATTCATTTTGCTATATGATTTTGTCTTGTATGTATGCGTATGGATGTATATAAGTGTATGTATATATATATATATAATATTAATTCTTTGTTTACTTGGTACTTGTCTTTACATATTTGAAATAAATATCTCAATCAATGTACAGGGTCAGGATTCGCATTCAGTTGCCAGTTTATCGCACATAGCTGAAGCTCATGTAGAAAAACAGAATAACCCAGCTATAAATCTTACCATCATGAGGGTCATAATATTCAGGTTTTTGTTGCATTAGATATAGAGAACTTCTTGACCTTTTTATAAATAAGTTTAAAACTTTATGAATGACAAAGTATTCTGAATCTGAATGTAAATCTGAAGTGTTGATTCAACTGCATTGTCACCGTGGAATTGTATACGAAGTAATATAATATTCTGTTCACTCCATTTACTTCATAACTTAAGGTTCAGCTAAATATCACAAAGCAAGTTTTTTGAGGTGAAGCTCTACGATGGCGACTTGATGTATGTGGTAACATGACGAGCTTTATGGGTCATAATTTCATTTTCAGAACGACGAGCTCGGCTTTCTATAAACACAAAGAGCTCACATATTTTGGCACACAACCTCGGTCAACAACAACACCGTCAGAGCAGCATAAGCATACACACACACATACACGTGTGAGTCTAAACAGTGTAGCACAGTCGGTACGTTTACATTGACCAGTTAAGCTAGTAGCTGTCCGTCGTTGTTAACGTCGGTTTGCTAACAAACACGAGCTATTAGACGCTAACTTGTTACAGGTCAACTCACCCATAGCAACCGCTCTCGACGACCGTAACTAGCTGGTAAATGTACGTTACAATATCATTGGGCGAGTTTAAACTACTTCACCAAGACACTGCAACATTTCAAACAGCCTCCATTTAGCAGGAGTACCCATCTGCGCATGCGCGGAACGAGTAAATACGCTGCGCAACCACGGTTCAACTAAATACCGCCCTCTGCAGTGCGCATGCGGAATGACAGGTGTACCTGTTAACCCTTTATGGGGCAAGTGGCCATATTTGGTATCTTCCTTGGACGTTAAATATGTCCACCATGTACCATAAATGTTTTATGTAGTTTGTTACTTTTTTTAATTGCTGATAAATCCCCCCCCTTTTTTTAAACCATAAAGGGGCAAGTTGCCATATATGGCAACTTTATTAATCTTGATTTGCAACATGTTTTATTTTTTATTATTATTTTTTTTAAAGTCATAAAGTAAAAATATCTTGAAATATCCTTCAATAAAATCCTAGGGTTGAAACTTTCACTTTCAAAGTATTTCAAGGGCTGATTTTAATCATTCATGTGTGTATGTGTTCTATCTTGCCCTAAAAAGTACCTGGTTACTATTTATTATCTATTTATTAGATTTTTTTTAAAAATTGAATTTAACCTGCACTATAAATATTTTGTAAATTTAAAACTTCTGTGCAGTATATTTTTTAATTATCTTTTTTTTTTTTTAAAGTAATTGAAACTGTTGCAATAAGGAAAAAATCTGTACCATATTAGTTCTTCTCTATCAGTATTTTTGCTCATGAAAAAATATATAACATATAATAATATTATAATGTTAGGTTGGTTAATTAAAGTAAAATGATTGTGTGAGACACTGTGCTCTAGGCAAAGTACGGTCCTCCCACTTTCTTTCTGTTCCTAGTGCAGGATAGCTATGTGCAGCAGTTCTTGAACCGTGTGCCATGCAATTAGTCTTATTTATGATGATTTTCAGCTATAATTATCTGTAAAGATGCACCTTGCGACTAAAAGGTTTAGGAACCACTGAGGAAGAACAGGGTTGCCAATTTTTAGCTACTAGCTGAAGTGAGATTGTTATATATCGTGACCCTTTGTATCAGCAAATACTTGATTTGTTATCATTGGTTTTATTTGTATTTACGTATGTATCAGAGGTTAATACTATAAAAACATGTCTTTGCTGCTTTTTGAATTTTTGCATTGAGCAATTGTGCAATTTGATTGTTGTGTGAGGCAAAAAATAAAATAAAATAAAATAAAATAAAACAAAATAAAATATTAAAGCTGCAAGCAGCGTTTGTCGGGTCCTCGGTCTGCGTTGGACCCTCATGCCCTACTGACCTCCATTTTGACACAATTTAAACCTGCTTAAAGTTGAAGGAGCCATTTTTCTCTGTCTTCTAAGCCTCAGGCTGTGTCCGAAATCACCCACTCACTCCCTACTCCCTATATAGTGATCATTATACAGTGCACTATGTAGTGCACTGTATAATGATCACTATATAGGGAGCACCTCGGCAAAGTATCATTTGGGACACTACTTGAGCTATTAATTACGTCCAGATTATGACCAGCTGCACTGAGCTGCCAATCAGCATTAAAGCTGCAGGTGATGATGTCATCGTTCTTCATGTCCCTGGGTGAGAGAGTGACATTTTTACTCACTTTAACTCTCCCATACAGCCACAATTTTCACCAAATATGTGTAAAAACAGGATATTTTTGTGGTAAGTCTTGCTAGGAAGCTCTCAGTGTCATTTTTAAAGCTGTACCACCTTTAGTTTTTTGAGTACATGACCAAATGTCGCAGCATGTCTGCACATGTCCCATAGACAGCCGTACAAAGTATGAGCCGAGGCTGCGACAGCTCATCAAATTTAAAGGCTTGCCATTTGAAAACCGGTTGAGAAACGCTAAATCCCTTCAGAACTTTTGTACATCAAGGCCTTCTCTGTCTCCTGTGCGATTTTCAAGCTGGTACGATTTACGGTGTCAGACAGGATAAGTTTTTCCCAAAAGAAGTTTTCACGGATTTTCTTACTTTGAAAGGCAAATTGCGGACTTCCTGTTGGAGATAGGTCAGGGGTTTCAGTGCGAGATTTGTGGGTCTCATTGAGACGAACGTTTTGGTGTTGGTTTGATCTCTGTACGACATTCCTACTGGCCGCTAGGGCCGTTTTAGTATGTTTTTCTGTAACTAGGTGGCGCTAGAGACCATTTTTTCTTCTTCTTCATTTTATCAAATTTTTCGCCGATTCGGACGTGCGTGCCAATTTTGGTGAGTTTTTGAGCATGTTTAGGGGGTCAAATTAAGGTTTTCGCCTTCGTCAGGAAAATAAGAATAAAGAAAGAAAAAAACGAAGCGGGAACAATAGGGGTCCTCGGACCCTAAAAATAGAAAAAAAGAAAACCTATTGACATTCAGGGCTATTCATAAAACATTTTTGGGGCTCCAGCCTCAGACGTCCTGGTCTAATGATGCCACTGGATTAGTCAGTTCACAGGAAGTCAATCTTCAACAGTCTTAAAAAGTAACTCGTTGCCAAGGCATTTTTAAAATGAAAATAAAAAAATAAAAACTCACTGGTTACAGCTCTGGGATGCTAAATTTATTCTCTGTATTTTGGACTGTTGATTGAAGAAAACAGGGCATTTGAAGACTTTAACATGAACTTTGAGAACTTAAAGTATTTTATCCTTCCTAACTATGTGACATTTTACATAGAGCACATAATTAACTGTTAAGCCAGTAAGGTTAGCCTTAGAATCAGCTACACAGTTAATAAGACAATAGTAGTAACATTCCCACACAGCATCTACGAGTGGACAGTTCGCTTTCTAACAGCAGATACAAGGTCGTTCCTAAGTATAAATTGCAATTTACAAGCATTGTAAAGCCAGTGTGATTATTTATAATGTAATTTATGTTCCAAATTTTAATGAATGTAAATACAAGGCTCTTTGTTTGGGTTGTCCATGTTAATTAAAGCCTGTACTGTACTCTGACACACATTCTGTTTTATGGGAAATGAAAATGTGTGTTGGATGTTAAATAGTAATATGTTTACAAGGATTACAAATTCAGAAAAGGTACGCCTCTAATCAAAACTGTTAAAGATAATTTGATGAGTGTGTTGTCCTCCCTTGATCAACACAGCGCACATAGTGTGTTGATCAAGGGAGGATTGCACACTCATCAAATCTGTCTAGTCTACAACAGGAATACCTACAGAGCTTCCTCATGGCGCAGCTGTCCAGCTGTGGGAGTGGTGCAGGGCCCTGTTTGCACTTGGAGGAGCTTCTACAGGACAACTGTGTGAGAACTTGCAAAATATCTTCATATTTGTTTCCATGATATAACCACAGATCGTAGAAATGTTTATCAGACTGAATGTTGGGAATCACTTCACCAGCTCCTGAAGTTGTGTAACTGCTGTGACATTGCAGTTGCTGTTAAAAGAACTTGAACATGTTAAACTGGAGGTTAAATACAAGCTTGCTGTAGGCAAAACACATGGCGACTGTCATGACTTTGAGTTGCAAAGTTTCTCTCTTGTATGTTAACGTGACACTGCAGGCGGAGGATGATGGTAATCAAGGATGTAGCACAGTCGGTTCATTTGCACATCCTGTGCTATTCATTGTCCCAGCTGTAATTTAGATAATGCAGCATACGCTCTGAACACATTAAACAAATATTAGCTTCAAGCAGTATAATTTTATTATATATTTTGAGTATGGGTTTCAGTATTGATTGAAGGTCTTCTGGTCTTACTGTTGCAAGTTTTTAATTTTGTTTTTGATTTTTCACAAATCAGCAAAACATAACTTTACCCTGACACCCACAAAAAGAAAATAATAATAATAATAATAATAATGATGATGATGGAGTATATGCTATATATTATACAACTGTCAAATGAAGGCACATTAAAATGTGAAAAACGTACACATAAAGGAAACACGCAACAAACAAGGTAAAATTTAGTGTCTTTATAACTTGTTTGATGATGTACAGAAAGTGTGTATGAACATATGTCAGATCTAAACCTTCATTCAGTTCATTTCTATTGATTAGACACCAACCCCAGTTTGATGTTTGTATGTCCCCTACAATAAACACTGTGTAGATTCTGGAATTATCATTATTGTCCTCCTTCATCCTAAAGATTAAATTTACCAATATAAAATTGAGATTTTTTATTTATTTATTTTTTTTTAACTGAGCTTTTAAAACATATAGTTTTGAATGGTATTAGCAAATTGGTTGTCTCAAATAGAACAATTTCTTGCATAATCCAATACCAGTTGTGTTTCCATACAGCATGATGTGTTTGTCACTGTTTCATCAGACATATTAAAAAAACATTCCAAATTATATCCATAAAACAAATAAATAACCCTTTGACTGCATCAGAAGTGCTATAATAAGATCTTCTGAGTGATACTAAATTACAACAATTTAATAATAAATGTATTGCAAAAGTTCACGTACGGCACAGTTAAAAACGTTTATGGCCTCCCGTTGCTTGCAAGATTGCTTTACACAAATCCTCAATTTACGAGCTGTAACCAGTATTTTGACCAATAGTGCATACCTTTAGAAAATCATGCATACATTTATACCAACTTCTGTATTTCCTGAGTTTCATCTGGATATTAAATTGTCAGAATAATGAAAATGTTTCCCTCAAAGTTACAAAAAAAAAACCTTACAAAACACATACAGACTGATTGTGTTTTTACCTTAAAGTCCTTGGGTTGTATTTTCAAATTCATCCAGCATTTAACCTGCTTATAAGCTATATGACAGTGGCATTAAAGAACCAGCATAAGCTGCACGAAAAGCAAATCATTTTACTAACTTGCATCCACAAACACGTTGTTACCACTTCACAATGTTGTACAGTCGTATTGTAAAACTTGAATGTAACTTGGGTGGAATGTGGCTTCCCTGAAAGGAACAAGATCCTCAGTGGAAACATTGAACGGAATGATGTTTGTCAAAGATCCACCTGCCTATTAAAACGTAGAGCAGATGGCAGACAAGGTGACGCAGGCTTTGTGTAAAGCAATGCTCTTGTTCACGCACGTGTGAGGTCACCATTGGTCGACATTGAAGTCATTCTCTCTCGTGAGATCTCTACTTTCACAACAGTTTTGTAACTGTAACTTTGGCATCATTGGCAAGGCCTCAGTCGTTATGCTAAACAGTTTTATTAGTTATTATTGTATTATTATCATTATCATGTATTGGTGACATGAGATGCCCCTGTCTACCCTGTTTATCCCTGTGGCACTGATGTATTATAAATGTCTCTCTCTTTATCAAAGAATGAGTTTAGTCCGGACAAGCACACGATCAAGACTTTTTTTATTGTTTCCTATTCTTCTAGAAATTAAGATTCTTAATTGTAGTGTGAAAATATTTGTTCAATCAAGAGATAAGGAGGACGTAAGAGTCATTTTTATGGAACTTGTGAAGGGCGTCAGACAGCCATTCAGCACGTTTGTCGTGTCTTGGCAATAAAACGTCAGGTCCCACTCAAGAAGAGGGGTGTGAACCAAAAACTGTGCAATCTCAATATAAAGGACTGCCAAAATGAGTCTCATTATTACCTGCTTTGGTGACGGGAGGCCCACAGCGGCAACGATGAGGTGGAGATCTGTGTGGTTGTGTTTCCTGGCTTTGTCTGTTGCCAGTGTCACTGAGGTCCAAGCCAGGCTGGGTAAGATTCAGATTGTTTTGGATATTCTGGAATTCTTTTCAAAAACCTTGATGATATGTATAAATTTGGCTGCTTAACTAATACAAAAGAATGAAGAAAAAAAAAAAAACTGTCTCAGTGTCAGATTTTTAGAGACTTAAACTTGTATCTGTGTAAATTTTTTCCAGTTCGTAACCATGTCAGCAGCATCTGCAGCACCTGGGGCAGAGAGCACTTCAAGACATTTGACGGTGATGTGTACCAGTTTCCTGGCATGTGCGAGTACAACCTGGTCTCCGACTGCCACGGGTCCTACCAGGAGTTCTCTGTGCACCTGAAGAGGACAGAAAAGGATGGAAAGCCTACAGTCAGTTACGTGGTGGTCACCATCAATGATCTGTCATTCCATCTCAGCAAGAGTTTGGTCACAAAAAATGACATGCCGTGAGTAAAAGAACAAAACAAAACAAACAGAAAGTTTGTAAAAGTAACTGTGAAAGTATTTGTTCTAATTGAAAACACATTCTCTATTTTCCTCTAGTGTCAACTTGCCATATCGCAATGCAGGAGTGCAAGTGGAAAAAAATGCAGTTTACATCAAACTCCAATCCAAAGTTGGTGTCACTGTCATGTGGAACGGTGACGATGCCGTCATGGTAAAAAAGTGTTTTATAATGCAGAGATAATATTTGTTCTTGAATCTGAGATGGGAACACACACACACACACACACACACATACACACCGATACAGCCATATTTATGTATTTTCATGTGGGTGATGTTTGAATGAATTCCACAAGATTCTGAGGAAAAAAACAAGCTATATAATCAGAACAAGCATAGTTATAGTTGTTAGTAAATACGCCACCTAATACTTATTTGATTTCTATTATACATTAATCATATACATTGTTTGCGTTTTACATCGTTTAACCTCTTAAGACCTGAGCTGTTATTTGATATGCATTTTTTATTCCTCGTTACGATTTGATCTGATCAAATAGTAATGAGGAATAAATATATATATATATAGATATAAAGAAAATAAAAATATATTTAAAAACATTTAATGAAAAAACAAACAAAAGTAAAATACTTTTAAAAAATAAATAAAAGATTAAAATTAACTACTGTGGTAATATAACTCAATATGTGATGTCCACGCATGTGTTCGGCCGGTCTTAAGAGGTTAATTATGTAAAAGGTGTTATTACTTGTTACAACCTTTCACTGTGCATTTTAGGTGGAACTTGATCATGAATATGCCAATCTAACTTGTGGACTTTGTGGAGACTTCAACGGTGTTTCAGTCTACAATGAGTTCATTCATAACGGTACATCTGCTCATTCACTTTGTATTTATTCATTTAATTTGCTGCATTTGGCTTGTGAATGTCAAGTCATTGTTTTATTTATGTGGCACATTTAAAACAACAGAAGAACCCAAAGAGATTTACATTTAAGAAAAATGATTAACAATAACAATGTACATGAATAAAAGTGTAAAAACTTTAATCACATGCAGGTCGCAAAATCAGCCCTATTGAGTTTGGCAACAAACACAAAGTCCATCGTCCAAATGATGACTGTGAGGACCCCTATGAGGAGGAGGATGAATCACCGGAAGGCGCCACTGTGTCGGATTCTTGCAAGAAATTTGTGAGTTCATTATCCAGCTAACTTTACCAGTAGAGATGAATGATACATAGTACAGTAGAGCAACTTCTGTAACCTCTGCTGCCGACTCTTTTGTCCCTTTTAGCAAACCCTCTGTCATGAGATGCTGAGTCCAGAGTCCTGGAGCTCCTGCACCAAACTGATCAACCCTGCACCGTACATCCAGGCCTGTGTGCAGGACATGTGTGGCTGCACCAACAGTTCAGACGACCACTGTGTCTGCAGCACATTGTCTGAGTTCTCCCGACAGTGTTCCCATGCAGGAGGACAGCCTCCCAGCTGGAGGACGCCTAAGTTCTGTGGTAACGTTTCCTGTTCTCTTTCTGCTGGATCTTTATGTTTTAAACATTATGTCGAGACAGCTAAGGCACTACAATTGGCTCAGTTAGAATAAAAATAATTTTTTCATTTAAATGGCAAATACTTTTAAACTAAGACCAGTCAGATGGTTCAGTGTAAATGGTAAATGGTCTGCACTTATACAGTGCCTTTTTCTACCTTAGCGGTACCCAATGCGCTTTACAATGTGTTTCTCATTCACCCATTCACACACACATTCACATTGGCCATGCAAGGTGTTAATCTGCCATTGGGAGCAACTTGGGGTTCAGTGTCTTGCCCAAGGACACTTCGGCATGTGGGGGGGACCGGGGATCAAACCGCCAACCTTGCCATCAGTAGACAACCCGCTCTACCACCTGAGCCACAGCCGCCCCATCTTAAATGGAGCAAACAACATAAGCGCAAATAAAATAAGGAGACAAAAAGTTACAAATGTCAATGAAGTTACTTCTGTGCTTGATACACTGTTGAATAAATCACATAAATTCCCATCTTTCTTCATTAAACTGTATTGAGTTGTACCATGTGTGTTCACAGCTAAACAGTGCCCGTTCAACATGGTTTATGAAGAGAGTGGTTCCCCTTGCATGGATACCTGCACACTTCAAGACACAAGTTCACTGTGTGAGGAGCACAAAATGGACGGCTGCTTCTGTCCTCCTGGTAAGCGCTCTTCACATCTATCTACATAGAACACTTTGTCCTTTCGCTCATCATTACCTTCAAATGTAACTGTCCTCTTCAGGAACTGTGTTTGATGATATTTCCATGAGGGGGTGTGTTGCTCAGTCTGAATGTCAGTGCAAGCACGGCAAAATCTATAACTCTGGGGAGATTTACCAACAGGACCGAGAGAAATGGTGCGTTGACTGTTTCCTAATGTAGACAGAATGTATTATTTGCAGTGTGGTCTCTTTCATCTTAAACTACTTGAACTTTTTCAGCACATGTCTTGAGGGCAGATGGGCTTGTGAGAGTCTTTCAACGCCCACTACGTGCGCAGTGGAGGAGGGTTCTCATGTGACCACCTTTGATGGGAAAACTTACACCTTCCATGGAGAATGTTACTACACTCTGGCCAAAGTGGAAAGCAAGGTGAATGAGTGGTAGCTTAGCACTGCTAAATGACAGAAGATACACAACC